AACCCTATCCTATTCATGGCCGCACTCCGAGCTTGGCACGCAGAAGAAATTACTGAGGTGTGCGGGGAGCTATCACATCAAATAAGTGATCCAGCCCAATTAGGTATCACCCCTCCTTCTTTTTCTTGATCCGGATAGCTAATTCGTTCCCAGCTATCTGCTTCAATCATGCGATCGAACAGGTCGACCGGGCTGTCCAAGGCTCTATGGGCTTGTTTGAGGTATAAATTTTCTCCTTTTTGTATTCGCCACCATTAATTTACCAAAGGTTGCAACACAGGCCTTTCATAACCTGGCCCTCGACGGTTATAACGACTTGGCACAGTTGCCTAATCGCTCCTCCCACCTCGAGCGTGTCCTTTCCTTGGTTCTCCATGCCCGTACCGTCGAGTAGTACATTATGTAATCTTGCTGACATCTTCCGGCATTGAAAATACGCGTCTCCCGGCTGGACCGCTTCTTTTCTTCCAAATGAGTCCATTGTACCTATTTAATTCCCAATCAAGCTCTTCTTGTGGATCTCTGTGTTTCATATGCCCGCGTCTCGCAGCTTTTCGGGAGTTCGCATTCGAGCGGTTGACTCAGTGATACCAGCGAGTACCTCCGGAGATACCATCTCCTCCGATGGCGCCAATATGTTTATTACTGCGGACATCTTCGTGGCCTGGAAGCCTCCAGCGATTTCTGATCGTCTTGAAGTCTCTATAGACTCCCAAGGCCGGGCCACGTTTTCTCAGGTCAGCCCTCAACCCTACCCGGTGATGGCCACCGACGTGACACGCACCATCAAATTCCGACATCAGGCGCGTATACGCGATTTTTCGTGTTTTTGACGTGTCATATCCTTCTTAGAGCCTCGTCAACTGTTCTAACTGTGTAGAACGGGAGCTGCCGTGCTCATTTCGTTTTATGGGCGTGCTCTGTGGCCCTTGCGCTGCTGCTGGGGATGACTCGTGTTGCTTCTCTGACCCCATCAATTTCGTCAATTCCATCAACAGCTTCCGCGATGCGGAATTGGACGACGTTCGCTCTGATTTAGCTAGCCGTCTATCCGACGGTAGCGTGGACCCTGAGGATGTTGGTGCGTCTTCTCCCTCTCTCTCTTCTTTCGCCAACTCGCGCTAGATTCGTATTACCAACACGCATTGAGACGTGTCAATCGTGTGGTCCAGGGTGCAGTCGACCGCTTCCAAGTACACGTTTTTCATTACGTGTACACGTCACTGACCCGCCTAGGTCACATCAAGCGCCACAGATGGCCTCGTGTTGTCCGGGTATCAGGCTTTTATCGAAGCATGCGACAAACCCAGCTTCCTCGGGCAATTCATCCACTTGTCCGAGGAGGCTGGTGTTTTCCACCCTTCTATTCGAATGGCCGCAGCGCAGCGAGTGTTGACCCTGGCGCGTTCCCAACTAGAGTAGCATGTAGCTATTTTTGAATTCATCATTCTTCTTGTTGATGGTTGCCGTGCTCTATTTTTGTGCTTAGAAACCCGTGGCTTCTCGCCTACTGACGCGTCACCCTGCCGGCCACTGCCTCGTCCTGTGCTCATCGCCTCCCACTGCCTTCGCTGGCAGTGTACTTCGTAGTAACCGTATTAATTCTGACTAATATAAATCTGAGATTCCCCGATCCCCAGATCTTCAGCCCAGCGCCCTACCAGCTTTCCAATTCAACTCTCTCTCATTCAATGTCTTCTTCTACCACCTGTCTCTCCGTGTCCGAGCTTGAGTCTGTCCTCCAGATTCTTCTCGAAGTTCGGAAGCACCTGCCTCACGACCCTGTTGATCGGGACGCCTTCCTAGTGGAGCGCGCCAATACAGTGGTATGTGACTGCTCTATCCCTTTTCTGGCAACACTACCTCATTTGTATTATTCGTGCAGTTGAAACTCAAGGACGCAATTGCCTCTTTCGTGGAGAACTCCTCCGCTGCCGAATGCGTGTTTGCCCTCCGCTCGGCCATGGCCAAAAGTGGGTTCCGTATCGGCGGGCCCTTCGGACGTCTCCTGGCCGATATCGTGGTCTTCTGTTCCGATATCTCGCGTCTACGCCGTGCCGCCCGTAGTCTCAAGAACACCAGCAAAGATCACCAAGGGACTGATCCCTCTGATTCCGCCCTTGCCGATCTTGCCGAATACGCGGCCCGCCTTGCCGAGTGGCAGGTAAATCATTTCTAACAGCATTTTGCCTGGATTGGCCTTATTTTTCCCAGTCTGATCCTATTGGCCATGGTTCTGACGCCATGCGCTGTTCCCCTCCTGCCGACAACCTGCCGGCACCCCCCAGTTCTCCATCCTCCATGCCGGCGCTTGAAATTGTCTCTGATTCTGGAAAATCAACAACTGGTATGCTGATTCTGATTTTTCTTTCCATATTTGACCTCTAATAGTGCGTATTTTAGACGTGCTGTCTCCTATTTCCGAGTTACTTCTCCATTTTAGTGGACTCCGCCCGGGCGAGTCAAGGCCTTTGGTATGATTTTCGCTTTTGTAATTATTTTCGGCCTCATTAGGTCCAGATCCAGTCACCGACGACGTTGTTGTCCGAAACCCGCTTTTCGAGGCTATCCCCGCAAGTCCCTCCGCGGCCCCGCGTAAACGTGCTCGATCCCCCGATCCATCACCGCCTTCATCAGTCAGGCAATCGAAACGGCAGGGTACGCGTGTACCCTTTTGCCGTGCTTCCCCTGACTCATTCCCGCTTCTAGCACGTCGCCCCGCGGTCTTCTCAACGTTCCATCCCGGTCGTCCCATCCCAAGGTCCAAGCGAGGAAGCAGCCCTCCGGCGGCTTCTCTCCCTTGAGTCTCGCATCCAACGACTTGAACGGCAACGGGAATGTCTCGCCTGGTCCCTCGACACGTTCTATCACAGTACTGCGCCCACGGACCCGGCGCTTTCAGCCGAGGAGCGTTGTGACTCGTGCTTCGGAAGCTTCGGTGAGTATCTTCTTTGGCCCCTTTTCTCTTTCATTTTGACTTTTGCTTCCGCAGGACGCGTAAGCGTTGCCATTACTGTGACTCTCCCAGTCACCTTGCTCAGTTCTGCAACCTGTTGAAGTAGACTTGCCCATCCACCATCTCTTGCTTGTAATTGTAGTACTCTTCCTGTACTTATTTATTTTCGAGTATTTAATTTGATGCGCCTGATGCGCCCTTCCCGATTTGGTAGTAGTTGCCTAATATGGTCGTTCGGCTTGTCTCGGCATCGAATTAATTTCGTTTCCTTCTAAGTCCGCGTTTGCCAAATTAGGCCTAGCTTCTGAGTGCGCCCCCTTCCTTTCCAGCCAATAAAACCACTGTCCTCAGTGGAATATTCCCTAGTGGCGCCCACTGTTCATTTCTTCCCAATCGACACGCTATTCCCCAGCCGATACGCGGTATGGTGGACGCAGATCCTCATACTCCGCTTAGCCTTGATCTTGATGCCGCGACTTTGTTATGCCAATATGCCCAAAACATCTCGGCTAACAATTTTAGCGACGCCGCAGAGCGTGCTAACTTTAAGGTTGAGGCTATCCAGTACACCGTGCGTAGCCCATTCATTTCCTCTGTCATATGTTTAACCGCTCTATTCTAGCTTCGCCTCGCGAAAGTCTATCCTCTTTCCGCCTTCATGGTCCAAGTTGGCGACCATCTGCCTGCGCAGGCCGTCATCGACATCTGGCAGTCGTGCATCGAGATGCGTTTCCAATTCTGTGGCGACGACTACCACTTATACAGAGGCATTCGCTCCCTGTCCGTGACAAGCCTTTGGCTTGTTGTTGCTTGTTTGCTCTTCTTTGTCCATATTTGGTAGTTGTTCCTGATCTTTCCCTTTATGTGTTCCTGCTCCTTTCTGTAGTGTTCCTGTTCCTCTCTCCTAGCTCCTAGTCTAGTTAGTATATAAGCCTGTCTCTAGTTAGTTCATCATATCATATAGTTTTCCCCCAGCAGAGTTTTCCTCAGAGTTCAAAGTCTTTCCTCTTCTTCTCCCTCTCTGGTTGTGCTGTAGCCTTTGGTTGCAGTTAGAGCAGTTTGAAGGGCTCTTGCTTTTCTTGTTCTTTCTCACACCAGTGAGAAAGCTTGTCATCCGATAATCTCTCTCTTTCTCTCCGTTGTCGCGAAGACGGTCTCTCGGCTACCCGCGCTGCTGAACGCCTTCGACAGGTTGACCGCGAACAGGTAAGCACTTTTCTAAGTGTTCTTTTCCTGCTAACGATCCCGCTAGTCCACAATCCGGAAACCGGTCTATCCCAGCTCTTCTGAGCGCGACGCAGACGAAGCTATGTCTTACGGTGCGTGCCCAGTTCCTCCGTCTACTTCGTTAACTCCCCAAGTAGTCGATTCTGAGGACTCTGATATCGAGGTTCTTGACGCTTAGGGCTCCAACTATTTTATTTCTATTTGTCAAATTTTCAAATAAAATAGAAACACAAATATAAATGGATATAAATGTTTAAAAACATTTGTAAACAGTAATTTTTAGACTAGTTATAGTGTTGGGAAAAGACCGGCCTTGATCCACATCTTTGTCAGCATTGCTTCCATAATAGTCTCCGCCTTCATTGATGCACGTGTGTCAGCGCAGAGATGTCGGGACTTGGAAAATAAGCGCTCGACAGAGACACTGGTTCCGGGGATTGCCAGATAATCTCGCGCCATACGCGAGATCACAGGGAAAAGATGTCCGAATTCCTGTTGCAACTCGGAGTAAGAAAGTGAATAGAGATGGTGTGAACAAAAACATACCTTCCACCAATCCAGCGGCTTATCTCGGTCCCCACGTCCATAAAGCCGATAGGCAATGAAGAAGCGTTGAAGCTCTGTATTAGTCTCCACCGGCGGCGTGATATCGACATCGTCAAAGGTGCATATACCGTCAAGAATGGAGGAAGAGGAGGGTTGCTTCGTCAGTGCTGAAGGTATTGCTGGTGCTGCAGTTCCATTCTGCTCTGTGTCGTAGGCTGCCTTGTATGATTCGTAGACATGTTGAAACAGGACACGAGCCTTTGTTTCGCGCTCACCCATTGGACTGGCTCCCACCGCTGCCACTGGTGTCGTTGCAGCTGGTTCCGGGTCAGTCGACGCCGCCACGGAAGTGGTTGCAGCAGAGGCGTCTTCTGATGGCGGCACTTCTGTCGAAGCTAAGCGGTCTTGTTTGGCAAACCAGGCCCATCCAAGCGCCGGATGCAAAACTGGAGGTGTTGTCATCGTCAACTGTCCGTTGCAGTAAGCGTGTAGACTCACCAGTTGAAATGATATTGAACTGTGATTTTTGCGCAAGCTCGTGATACTGCTCCAGCTTGAGCAAACCTGCTGTCGCAGCTGTGCGAAGCTCAAATGGCAGATTCAAGTCATCGCGACATGCCTTTAGATGCGCCAGCATAAGCTCATACATGGGCAACACCCACGGAAGCGTTGGGGTCGATGATTTTGACATCTGGAGTGTGACCTCCGTGAACACCTATAGACAGACAGATTCAATTGCGGCGCTGCAAGAAGGAAGCAAATATACCTCAAGAACCCCATTAAGTGATCGGAGCAACTCCCATTGCTCAGGCTGCAGGATCAATGGTCGGAGCTCCGGTCGCTCGAAGAGCCACTTCTCTTGGGCCTGTGCTCTACTTCAGCTTGTAGCTTTGAGCGAGACAACGACAAACCTTGATCAGTAGCTCGCCACGCTGGATGCTACGCTGTGCATACTGACCTATTTCATTCAATTAGGCGGGTCACGGTCACATCGGATTTTTTGGCCAAAATATTTCGGCGGGTCACGGGTCACAGCCAAATCTTTTGGTCCCAAACTGTCCTAATCGGGAAGATTTCGAAATTTTCGGCGCCTGCGGCGCGCCGAACTTCCTAATCGGGTAATAGGTCACGCGAAATTCGGCCTGTGGCCGAATTGGACATTTCGGCCAAACGGTCACGGGTCACAGGCCCGCTGAATTGATCGAAATGGGTCAGTAGTTCCAACGGTGCTTCACGTCAGGAATTGGCATGAGTGTCGCAATTTTGCGACCCGGCTTCCCATCCGGAAGAATATGTAACTTATCCCCATAAACTTCTTCCGCAATTTTGCGGAAGCGCTGTCGGCGTTGCGGTGAAGAGCATATTTTGATCTGGGTAAGTCGGAACTGGAGATTATAAGAATAGATTCTGAGAAAACCATGAATATACCTTTTTCAATGTGCTCAGTGCAGCAAGTTCGTCCTTTCGGGACACGAGGATGTCCGTCTCGAAACCCTCTTCCTCCTCATTAACCTGATCACTACTCGAGCCCTGCTCCCCCTCCATCGCTTTCAAATCCTCGTCCTTATCTGGGTCATAATGGATTGGCAGGTCCTTTCCGTTGGGATAATCGTCAGCACCGGTGTCGGGATCCTCCGCCTCACCCATGGCCGAAAGAATCTTCTGCACGACTAAATTAACTACATGTGCTAGACATCGAATCTGGGAGTTGTCGGCATTGAGATGATAGTCGAATTTCGTCTGGAGGATTCGTGCGAGCGAACGACATAACACATCGTTGACTGAAGCATTGTCAAGTGTGACGGCGGACATGTATATGCGGTTAGAGCTCTGCGCAAACAAACAGTACAACACTCATCTTTCGAAGAATGCCGAGCTCAAGCATTCGCTGAGCCATCCCAGCAGCTGCATACTCGCCCTCGTGTTCCTTGTCCTGAATGCACTGGAACCCGATCACCCATTCAACCAGGCGCCAGTCGGGGGTTATCCATGATGCGACAGTGCCCGAGAAAGTGAACGTCATCGCACGGGTGGTCCATGTATCCTCAGATAACGCGATTAATGAGTTAACCATCTGTACAAGTAGAATGAGTCGTAGTAAGCAGTCGGAATAACAACTGACATGGAGATCATGCTGCGAAGACCTTGTAGAAGCCCACTTGCGTCGGAGTTTTTCCAGGTCGCAGCTCACCCTCCCGCAAAAAGTCCTCCATCAACTTTGCGGACGCAGCTGTCTCTCCTCGTACCGAGTTTTCACTCGTTTGGATTGGGACTGGGATGTTGGGCCCTCCGTGCTTGTCTCGGAGGTGTGTGGCGAGGTTTCCGAGAAGCGGCTGCTTGGGCTCGTCTTCGAATTTGCTTGTAGTTGACAGCGTTCGCGGAACAGTAAGGGTACTGTGTAGACAAATTAGCAAAACATAACGGACAGAGTATGAAATTGCACGGACTGGCTACAATGTAGACATTGCCATGCCCAGCGCCTCTTCCCGTTGACGTTGACGGGCTTGGGGAGGGAGAAGTGCGCCCGAGAAGTGCTCTTCGGACCCCGGCGTCCAGCAACAAGCCCTATATCTTCCTCTGATGAAGAAGGGATCTCGACAACATTGATTTTCGGGGCTTGCGATGAATCAGCGTCAGCACTCTTCACGAAAAGCCATGTCAGTCACTGTCAGCGACAATAAATACATCCGACATACCTTCTTCTTCTTTTTGCGACGCTTTCGAGTCTTGTCGGAGGCAGGCAAATTGCCATCAATAACAATCGCCTTTCGCTTCCGGCCCTATTCTCAACCGATTAGTCGACTCATTTCAATAAACAAAAGGAGAAACTCACTGTCTCTGCTGTTTCCGACGCCGCTTGCACGCCGAGGTCGTCATCCTCGTCCTCTTCAGAAACTTGGCGTTGCTTCCCACCTTTGTAATCCGAGTCTTCCTCGTCCGTGTCGACATTGTGGATTATTGGCTGTGCTGCTACACCCCCCTCGTCGCTCCCCGGGATAAACGCCGCGTTGAAGTAAACTGGTAAGTGTCAGCAAGCAGTCAGGAACTTGCAAGTTACAACGACTTGCCCTCTTTTCGGGCCTCCCAATCGGCGGGGAGGAATCTCCTATTGCCAGTCGGGGGAGCTGGATTGGGAGCTGGAGCAGAAGTGGGAGCTGGAGCCGGTTTGGGAGCGGGGGTTCTCTTCGGTGCCTTCGGCGCAGAACTGCCACGGGCATTCATGTCATTGAGCGTTAAGAAAGCGGCAAGACATACCATAGAAACTGAAGTTCGTGAGCAACGCGCTGCAATTTGATCATTGCAATATCGATAGGGATAACTCCAGCGTCCCAGCGAATTGTTTTGAGGTAGTTGACGACAAGCTTCATCCCATACTGGCCGCGATGAACATTTACAAGTCGCCCGTTGTGATCACGACAGTCCTCGCCGTAGAGAAGGTCGAAACGTCGATTGAAAGTCGATGCGTCGTCATTATTGGGCCCATGGATCTTTGTAATAACACGGTGGATGTCCCCCGGTTCAGCGGCCTCGAGAACCGTTAGCGGCAGTTGGCTAGATAATGTAGCAATTCTCCGGATGAGTTCATGAACAGGTTGGGCTAAGATACATTAGCAGAGTGATCTTCCGAGAGATATGTCGTACCAGCCAAGGCCTTTTCATGGGCAATACTTGGGGTTTCCCCGTTGTCTTTGTCGGCAATACGTGGCGCTGGTACTCGCTGGCGTTGGCCAATTCGCAGAGGGATCATCGTCGTCAGCTACACATGAGCTGGGTGGCCCTTTTATCGGCTTCCAGTCCGTATGAAGTCGGCATCGGGTCGTGAATGAAGACTGTGTCGGAGAGAGAGGTGCTGACGTGGTTGATGCGATGATCGGACTTTCATCGCCGCTTTTCGTCGGAGGCGGAATCCGATCATTATCCAACCGTCCGTTCAAGTCCAGGAGGAAATTATTAGAGCTTATTAGCAGTCTGAAATTTAGCAAAATTTAGAGCGCAGATCCGATGGAAATATCTTTTTTTGCGAAGTGGAGTGGTGTCCATTCATCACTCCTCCACCCCCCGCTCAAGCCCAAGCCCTCAAGCCTCTTTAGCATGCTCTGAAGGACTTAACTGCTCAAAAACTAGAGGTTGAGACTCGGAGTCATCATCCTGTGAGCGAGCAAACAACTATTATGGCAGGCTCCACTTGAAAAAAATGACAGAGAAATGACACACAAATAGAAAAGAAAAAACGCGTTTTTCGCCGCTGCTAATAAGCTCTATTTGAACCATTTATTTCTATTTATTTCTATTTGACCTGCAGTGCAAATAAAATGGGGGTTTAAACGTTTGTTACCGTTTGTAAATATTTACAAACGGAAATGATTGGAGCCCTATTGACGCTGTGCCGCCTCCTGGGGCAACGAGTACTCAAAGCGCCATGGTGCGTCTTTCTCGCTCTTCTGTTTGGCCACTCTAACCTCCTTGTTAGCTTTACGCTGTCGATCGTGGGTCTAGTACTCTTCCTCATCCTGGCCCAGCGGCTCCAACGCGCGGTGCGTAGCATATTTACGCGTCTCTGTTTCTTTACTAACGTGTTTTGTAGCTCTTTCGCCCGCCGCCCCGGTCTTCAACCCAAAAGGACACTTTGTCCGCGAGTCAACGCCCATCCCTCCTGGTCCGAGCGATAACTCTTCTGCTTCGGCTTTTCCTGCTGTTGCTCATTCTGCTCCTTCATCGACTACACTTCCTGGCGCCCAACTCCATTATCGCTACCCTGACGACCCTGCTCGCATTCCAGTGGTTCAAGAGGACAACGTTCGCTGGGTCCCCATCAACCCCAGCGGGCACCTTCCTCGTCCCCACCATACCGACCGACCCTCTCCCGCGCGTCCAGCATCTGTTGGTGGGTATCCTATTCCCGCTCGTCCGCCAACTCGCGAAGACCCTGGCTGGGTGGATTGGCGCAGCCATACACGCGACAATAGCGACGCGTCGGGCCACCACCGTCCCAACAAATGTTCGATTCATCAAGTCCCGGAGGTCGTCAGCGGCCCTTCGCCCCGTGTTCGCGGACCTATGACTCAGTCCATACCGAGTGAAGTTGCTCCGGAGGTGATGCCTTATGTGCCAACAATCCCTGGCCCCGCTATCCATCCCGAGCACCTCGCGAGTGCGCCGTACCCTAGTACGTGCCGCTCACTCCGCTTATCTTGACCTCTACTAACCTCTTTCCCAGTCAGCTATCACTTCGAGCCAGCCGTCGAACCAGCCGGGCCAACGGCTTTATTGTCCCGGACAAACGAAGCCGCAGCGGCCCTCGAATTGGCAGGCATTGCGATGTGCGATTTGACTAGCGGCCACATGATCCATGAGCGCGCCATCCGCTGTGAACGTCTGTCTCAACTCGTTGGCCACACTCCGGGATGCCTTCCACCGTGAGAGGCCCATTCTTGCTGAGGCAATACGCCGTGCCCAGCGCGATGGTCTTGTCGACGTTTTCAAGGGGTCAGAACGAGCTCGGCACGAGCAGCCTAAGTAGCGTTAACCCACTCTTCTGCCTCGTCCCACTGCTAGTCCGTGCCGCGCACGCGCAAGCCAAACTCGCTCAGCCGCTCCCACATGCCCTTCGCCAGCGCATTGCCGTCCATCTCCGGAGTGATGAGATACCCGAGCAGCGCGGGGTTGAGCAAGGCTTCCTTTACTGCGGAGAGCGTAGGTGGCGAGCGCTCGTCGAGGTAGTGCAGCGCAATGCCGTGCGGGCGAAGGAAGGCGTTGAGGGTCTCCATAGGGTGAGTGTAAGATGTCGTGGACTGTCTTTAATTAGACTGACAGTCAAGTAAAGGGGGAGGAAGTCGCGAGGCGAATGTCCCCGGCATTGACGGCCGCCTCTCAAAGCCCCACGTGCTTATCTTCCCCTACTGTCCCCATCCCAAGATCACCTCCTCCCGCGTAGCGGCCCGTGCTAGGAAAGCGGGAGAGCCGAAAGGATGGGGGAAGTTGATGATCGCCAGCATTAGCATGAAAGGAGCGCCGCTGCCCCGGAGAAGAAGCTTGTGTGCTTTTGGTCATCGGAAAAAGCAAGCGACTAGATTGGGGATGAGAAGCGAGGCCGGAGGAGTACATTGCAGTAGTGCTGACTGGTTAACAGCTCGCGAGGGAACGAGTGAAAACGGATGGTGAAGCATAGGATGTAAAGATAACGATGGAAGATGGTGACGGTGAGTAGAAATAAGACAAGGCCCGTGATGTTGGCGTCAACGAGAACAGCTGAGAGCATGGAAAATGGGTAACAGCGGAGCAAGTGGAGGGAGAATACGATATATTATAGTATCGGTCGTGGAATTGGAAGCAATTGGAGGCAATGGTCATGTAGAACCGCGTCAATAAGGACGACATACTCACTGGATCGATTAGCACCCCCTCCGCGACCAACTCCCCTCCTTTCCGTGCTCCAGCAGATTTCCAGCTTCGCGACCTCGCCCGCGACCAAGTCCACTCGTGAATGAAAACGCGTCCAGCGGAGGCCTTACACCCCAGTACCATGGGCCAAAGTAGATAGACACCATGTGTGGGTATGGCGGAAGCATGAGATCCAGTTAATAGAGCCGCAGGATGCGCCATTGCAGAGGAGTATCGTGTCGTCAAATCGAGTGACGAGTCACGCGTCACTTGGCAGGCGTGCTGGGGATACGGAGATGAGATTGGAGACTGAGTTGTAGTTTTGTCTTGTGCTTCTTATGCTCCCCCTTGCTCGACAGCCAAATACTCAACAGTTTCGCGGATGGGATGGGAAGGTCCAGCGGGCGGTGGCGAGACAGCCGTCGAAGACACGACCGTGAACAACTTGAAGAGCAGGGGCTGGTCTCGCGGCCTCTCTCTCTCCTCGTCATTTCAAGAGGCAAAGTAAACGAGAAGCCCAACAGTTTCGTGGTCATGTTTGGCGGGCGAGACATTTGAAGGAAGAAGAAGAATGGAGCTTGAATACGCGGAAACATCGTCAGCCCCAGCGTGAAGAACACATTAGATAACGCACATTCCAAGCCCACGATTTTCTATATCCATGGCCCCGCCCTCCCTTGCTCCGTGTTGGTGATCGCCTTGATCTGAAGGTAATTGCAGTCGAAAGTGGTGCCGTGCAGAATTCGGGGAAAGGGCCACTGAGCGGGGGGTATTGGGTGAGGGAGGGGTGGTGCGTGCTCGATAGTTGCCTGGAAGTGTGTGTGTGGAGAATAAACGGGGAATGGAGCAAGCTGGATGGATTGCGAAAAACATTAGCAACAAGTACCATGTAGAAATGGTGCTCGACGCACGTTTTAGGCACATGTATATCCCGCGCGGCAGCTCCCAGTGTTCCCACATCCTTGCTGCACGACTGCCAGGGCCACATGTCGTTGCGGCATCGCGCCAAACAGGTGCGCTGCAGGCACCAGCCTTCCTCCTATCGTTTGCAAATGGCAACGGAAGCGGGGGACTGCAGCCAGTCGAGGGTTGATCGCAGCGAGCGAGAGCCTGGGGGGTATAAAATCGAAGGAGAGTCAATGGATGAAGCTTGGAGGGAATACTAGTAGCTGCACGATTCGCAGCACGAAGTTAGTGACCACGCAAATGACGCGCTTCATGAATAACGCACCTGTTTGCGCCTCCCCCAATCCTTCTACTCTATGTCCTTCCACTCATTCCTCACCTGCTCCTCCATCGTCTGCGCCTTGATAGAGGATTTCCGTCTAGTCTAGCTGAAATAAAGTAACAAGTCAGAAAAGCGGTCTTTGTGGCAGGAAAAGACAAGACGCACACAGCAAAGACAAACCAGATAGCATCGCATGACTCCCCCCCGCCGTCCTGAGGCCTGGCACGGTCGAGCAGAGTGGCGCATGAATAGAAGGTGGTCGTGCGGGGAAGAGAGTGTCACACATCATCATGATTATTTCTCTCACTCAAACGTCAATGTGGCAATCATTTATTTACCATTTACATACCATGGTAAACTAAATGAAAATAAAAACGGTTATAACCGTGTACAAATGTTTGTACACGGAAATGGTTGGAGCCCTAGGCCTCACTGCTCTGCACGAGCTGCGGCTCCGAGATTACAATTCCGAAAGTGTCTCCATCCTCTCGCTTCTGTGTACAAAGAACGTCCAGGCCGGCAGCGAAGTTATCGATGCGCGGCCCGGGCTTGCACGACTCCGGACTGTTGTCTACGAACAGGTGGCCCAAGATCGCCGTTCTGGAGAGCGCAAGTTGCGGTTTCCTTCTGTTCTTGGTTCAATAACCCACTTCATCACTTTCTGGGACCTGCTCAGGCTGGCACCCTGTGATTCGCAAACGCGCAGTGCCGGGCGGAGATTTGTTCTCCGCGGAGCTGGACTCGATGAAGGGTCCCGGCTGCTGTACTCATCTTGGTTTTTATCATACAAGCAAAAGAGGGGCGAAGAGGATGGTTGCGTGTTAGTTGTGGAAGACATAAAGACCAAGTAGTGGTCAAAGCCCAGGCAAGACCGGTCAGACAGAAATTTAAACGAGCGCATGTACAGTATGGTAGCAGACATACAGAAATGAAAATAAGCACTAGTAGTGGGAACAAAAGAAACGACAGCATGAGGAAACTAAGTAACGAAAATGAGGGCAACGATTGGTACAAAGCTACCTCACCACCCGCCACGCATTGCACGACCCCCAGAATGCATGATATATGTCGCCTCGCAAACGCGAGGCCCGGCTTGCCAAGTTGGTAGAAGTTGCAGTAGGCAAAGACAGGAGCTGGAAGGAACTTGAATGATGATGGGTTTTACGCCAATGGTCTTCTTGGGAGACGAAATGAGTCAAGCCAGAGGCTGTCTGACTCATCCGAGGAGCACAATGTCGGCTCCTTTATCCATATAATGCGAGTATACACCTCCGTCTTCGCAAATCCCGCTAACGCCGATACCGTTCGGAGACGCCATTATAGACGTGTCTAGCGAAAGCCCAGCATGTGGAATAGTCGGGCTCAAAGAATCGGGTAGGTCGATGAGGGTACTACGGCGGAGACGGCGGAGATACTAGTACACTTGAATGTCTTTGGAGGGGATGTCCGGCATCTGGCTTTTGTTTTGGGACGAGGCCATCGAGGATGGAGAGGGACGTGGTCGTGGGGCTACGGGATTGCGTGCGAGCTTAGATGATATTGCTTTTGAGGGCTCTAAGTGCCGTTTGAGGACGAATATGGCTGGTAAACGAGCAGCATCAATGGCCTTGTGTGTTCCGATTCCTCTCCCTACCTTCGGTAGCAACACGGGGCAGTAGTCGGAGAGCTGCTGACTGGCAATGAGCTCCCATGCAAACGACAAGTAAAATGACGCACATTGTTCCCCGTTTTCAATCCCATCCATCCATTGTCCTTGTTTGCAAGTGCGAGAACCGGCCAAGCCAAACGCAGCAACGGCTACACACTTTCTTGTCGCGCGGAGAATGGCGTTGGAGAGCTTGAGGATGAGTGGTAATGGAGAGCAGCCGGAATGTAGCTTTCGACACACTGTATCCGCGGGGATAGTCAAAAAAAACTCGAAAAGAGGGAAACGTGGACGCACTATTGTCCATGTCCATGTCCGGCGCGGGCTCAGCACGGTTGTCCACTCCCTTCTCTCATCTAGTACCGTTTCCGGCCTGCCAGCGCGGTCACCCAAGGTAGTGATGCAGGGTCGGCCATCCGGTGTGTCTTTGGCGCGTTTTGTGCCAGGAATTCGCTGACTGTCTTGCCCAGCATGAGCCTGCTTGCGGCGCGGCGCTAGCAAGAAGGAAGATATATTTGTGGATGGGGGTAAAATACGAGGACTCAGAAGTGGACTATTGGTCCTGATACGAGTGTGCCGATCCTTTCCATTCTATTTGCGTGCTTAGCTAGACAATCCGCGACGAGCGCGACTCCATAGCTCTCAGTCGGCAGCCCTTTGCGTTTGAAGCCGGATCCAGAATTCAAGGACGAAAGGGAGGTCCCTGTGGGGGTCGTTTTGTGGGATTTTCTCGACAGAGGAGATTGGAGACGATGAATAAGCAGACGCTTTGAACCCGGGGCTAATTGGCGTGGAGGAACGCGATGTATGTGTTGACGAGGAGAATGGCAACGTAGGTACACGGCTGTAATAAGTCTACCCAGTCGTTGTTAGCTTTGAAATATTGCAGCAAGAAGTTAATGACATACACGAGTTCCTCGTCTTTCGTTCACGCGCTCCACAACCACATTCTCCTCTCTCTTTGCAACGACCATGACAGCTTCTGCGCCTGCAGACCCCGCTTGAGCGCCGTTCACCACCTCTTGGTGGCTTTGCTTTCCGTTGGTACTAGTAGGTCCTTGATGTCGATAGCGAAGTCGCCTGGTTTTGGAAGAGGGAGGACGACAAGATGAAAAAGTTTGGGGGCCTTGGAGGAAAAGAAGACACGAGCGGATGAGGACATGCTTGGCAGGGCTTGTAAACCCGATATTTGGGGGGAAAGGTGGTAGAGACGACTTTCGAGTGAGAGCTAGGATGATTTGTCCGGCAGGGGGGCGTTGTTTGGGTCGGGAAGCGCTCGTAAACGACATTGAAAGTGACTGAGGCGGCGAAAACTGTGTTGGCGAAGGACGGATGGGTGTGTGGTGGGCTCGTCAGGATTGTCATCGTCGATACATAGCCAAGCCGCACGCTCTTGAGCGCGACACAAAGGAAAGGGAGTATAATCGGGTGCTGAAGTCGCAACTTGAATGAGCCATCGGAAAAGGGAGGAAAACCACGTCAACGCACGCCACCGATGCTCCGCAAATTGCCATCCCATGCTGACCTCCCTCCTTAACTATGCTCTCCGCCAACTACCCTCTCCCGCGGTGGTAGTACATCATTCGAATCCGTCGTTGGCCTGTCTTGAACCGGAGAGGGGTCGCCTGTGCGAGTGCGGCGATGACATGGGAGTGCAGACGAAAGAAGGAAAGTGTGATGTCACGCACATATCCTGCTTTCGTTTCGCCAAACGACAAGCTATGACGCGTACGGCGCTTCAGCGGGTGTCATTATCGTCTGGGCGTGCTGTCCAGCGGATGGTGGTGGTTTGGATACAAGAAGAGAAGACGTCACACCATGGCCGCTGTGACTCCGGATCTGCGTTTTGACTTCTACCGCCATCCGAAACACACTCGCGTCTCAGAGCGATGTCGCGTCTGGCACCAAGTGATACTCTTGAGGCTCGCAACTCCTTCATCCTTCCCTTCGAAATCTGGGGCGCCATTTTTGAGTTCCACAGCAAGCGCCACCAAGTTTATCCGAGTCCAAGGCTGGCGACAGAGGGGTGGTGGGCCTCGGGCGAGGTCATCAACATGACTGCCTCGGACCGAAACACCCTCTTCAAGAGAAGCATGACGGCGCACTACCATCTCCGCCTTGTTTCTCGCGCTTGGAACGAAATCATTCTTGGCAGCAGAAGAACAACTCCAGTGGCACGTCCACCGCCTTCAATCCGAACAGCAATACAGCCATTCGTCGTCGCGCTTGCTGCTCAGATTGAGTGCGATTCGGACGGGGGCGTGATTTCAGGGTACGGGAAAGAGACGTGCGGTTCGCGGGAGATCTAGACGGCAATATCGGTGGCCCGGGAGTCCCCAAGGACGCCGATGGCAATGCCGCCAGGCCCGTCCAAGCTCGCTCTCGTCCCAACACCCTCGCAGAGTCAGGATAAGGCAATATCATTCCATTCAAGTTCCGTATGAGTCATTCCAATCTAGCTCCTCAGGCTTCTCGACTGATTGCGCCGGCGGGCTAGCAGGAGCTGGACCAAATATGACGTCCTGCAGCACCGCGGCGGACGCCGACGAGCCACGTTCCGCGCAGAAGTACAGCAGCCTCCGTGTCATCGACTCGCGCACGGCGGCCGTCTGCAGGTTTGCGCGGAGAAAGGCGACTTGCATTGTCTTGACCTCGTCGAACCTGCAGCGCTCGTCAGTTAGAGGCCGCAGAAGAGAAGAGGCGTACATGGCGGTGAAGTTGGAGAACACTTCGTGGACTATAGTGTCGACGGAGAGCCGCGCACGGATCGCCTCGAACGCGAGCAGCTTGAGTTCCGCGAGGCCGTGCTGTTGTTGGATTCTCAGTAGGCATCATTAGACCGACAGCTGCCTCCGAATCACCTTGTCCGCGAGTTTGTACATTGACTTCGGCGAGCATTCCGGTGCCCCGTCTTCCCTCGGGTACCGGTAACTCAAGTCGAAACGCGAGACTCTGCCGCCGACCTCACGGAAGTGTATCTTGCCTGTGTACAGGTAGTATATCAAGGCTTTCCAACTATGCCAGTGTCGCACTGTTAATCCAACGAGCTTCGATATAAAGACGACTCACGTGTTGTAAGCATGTCCCTTGATGACAATGCGATGGCCGCGACGCCCCTGGAGCTCCTGCTTAACTATCACATCAGGCGATGTCGAACGCCGCTGTGTGCTCGGTCCAGCGACAGGCTGCTCTACCTCATCTGGCCCTAGTTGTGTATCGTCTGAGTAATGGTAGAGACGACGACGGCTGCCAACTTACCGGTTTCTTGGCCGTGCATATCCGTGTCGCCATCGAATTCCTCGCCGTCCTCGAGGTCGCTGTCGGACATGTAGTCGTAACCGTCAAACGCATCCTCGGGAGCCTGGTCATTCGTAATATCCGTCTGCCCCGATTCGAAAAATCCGCTGAACATGTCGTCAAGATCTGGACGTTCAACCTTATCAGCACGGAAAAAAAACATATGAGCGCACAAGTACCTTTATCGAACTGTTTCGAAGTCCCGCGCATGAGCCTGAGATTTCCATAGAGCGGACGGGAATTATAGGCGTAGCCTTTCCGCGTGCGCGAATATGCCCAGAACTTGACATCGATGAGCTCGCCGCCATGGATCGTGTCGACAAGAGAGGCGCGGACGCGTGTTGGGAGGGGCTCGTCAGAGAATGGGAGGCGGGTCTGGATGGTGACAGGCTGAGGAGGAGTAAGCGCGAAGGTGGCCTCAAAGGATATGGTAAGCTTCAAGATTGGCGGTTGTGAGTTGAACGTAGAGCTGAAGCGTTTCATCTTCCTGTGTGTCCATGAGCCGATAAGCGCCGAATTCTGAGTGTTTTGAGGAGGCTCTGTAGATGGGGACTCGGAGATGAAGCGACTCAAGGGGAGGTTGAAGGAGAACGTCCGCAAAGAGTAATCCAAGCCATACTTCGACAGTCCTGTTGCTACGACATTGGCGGTGCACGATACGCGTCCGTACTCCGCGTTCGCGACAAGGTACGGGTCGAAGTAGACAGCAATGGGACCATACGAGCTGTCCCACTTGAATCGCCAGCCCCAGCCGCAGACATCGGTCGTCCCAGTGGGCGAGGAGTCTACGTCGAAGCTGACACGGAAGGAGGACTCGACGCCGTTGGCCGTCCAGGTATCGGGGGAGTCTCTGACGAGCGACATCGATGAGAGGAAGAGAGGCGTCTGTGAGTGGCCACCTCGTGTAGGCAGCATGTCTGCCTGTGTATGCAGCGTGTTTGGTCGTTTTGCCCGGCCCGAAAGTGGGAGGAAAGAGAGGAATCCGTTGTGACGTCACAGCCGCCCTTCTTCGTCTTCTCCGCCATGTCGCGTCTCGCCTTCCTCTCCCATCCCATCTTTCTCAACTCGGACACAACGAACGCGAGCGTCTGAGGCGCCCCATAAGCGGAAATGCAGCGCTTGTTTATTTGGTGCGCGTGAATACTTCCACTTACAAAACTCCTGCTGATTCGGTGGACCAGCCGTCTTGACTCCATTATCCGCAAGCTCGCACACCATACCGGTCTGCTGGAGGGAAGGAAAACACCGTTGTCGACGTGGAGCTGCTCTTTGCTGGCCCTAGGTGCGTGCTTCAAATCCTACATCTTCTCCCCCTTTCGTCGTCACTTATGCCGACTCTCCAGATAGCACCCACCCACTCACTCATACCCCACGCCGCATATCTGCTCCAAGCACATGCCCCTCCACCCCGAAAGCCGTGTTTCCTGCTGCACGCGTGTTCTTCAAGTCTAGCGGGCGAGGTCACCCTCTCCAGCAAGAAGCCGTTCCCGAGCCCTTCTGCATCCATTCGCGACGGGCGCTGATGGTGCAAACGAGTTAGACTAAGGTCTCGAGTGTGTATCTCCACCTGCCGCCCACTTCTTGCGTCTTACTCCGTCCTTTAGCTTCCTTTTTGGGCCATTCCTCTTACTCCCTCCTCGCGCTTCAGGGCGGACTCCTACCCGTCTCCTTGCCGAGTCCCCCGTCCCAGAAGGTGCAAAGGACAGCGCCTGGTCCGTTCCTAGCCTTCCGCCAGCGAAAAATCACTAACAAGAATCTACAGCCTGGCGTCTCATCGCCTTTTGCTCCGGTGCATGACAAACGATACACGAGCAATAACGGAAGCCGAGGAATGAACGAGTTGAGCTGGAAGGTCAAGAGGCCGCCGACCTCAAACCGTCTGCCTCGGGCTCGACGACTGTCTAGCGCTGTTGCCCAATACCTCCCTTCCAGGTTCCTCGCCACCCAGACCACTCGCCAATACGCCCCTCCCCTTCCGTCTTCACCATCTCCATCACATATCCATCCCTCTCTCCCCGCCTCCCTCGTCCGCGCTCGCCATCGCCAACCGCCATGCGTCTGCGTCTTCCCCCGGCCCTCCTTCCCAAAATCGGCCAGGTCACGTGCCGCGCCGGCCGGCGCCGACATCCCTCAACACGTCTCAATGCAGCATGACACGTATCGCTTCAGCGAGGGGATTTCGTGCTGATGCACATTGGCCTCGCCTCTCTCATCTTTATGGTGCAATTCACCTAGTCACCACTAGTTTTGAACAAGCAGTATTAGTTCCTGGGAAATACCTCTATTTCTTATCCCTCTAGCCAAAATGAAGCTTTTAGCAAATTGAACATCCATCCTCCAGTTCAGCCATGCTTATATAATGCTTAGATAATGTACAAAATTGGTTGTGACTAAGTGAATTGCACCATAGGGCTGGCCGCTATCTGGGGTATTGAGCGGGCAGCCTGTCGTTGGGGACGCGTTCGGCGGCCGGCGCGGCGCGGACGTGCCTGGAAGGATGACGGAGGAGGCAGCGGCGGTGGCGTGGGCGGTGTCGGGGAAGGAGGAGGGCGGGACGACTAATGGTATCGTCGTCGGAACCACGAGAAGAGCTAGCTGCGCACCCCCGTTTGGCGCTAATCTGCGCGAGCGAGGCCTGCGTAGCAGTCCTTGTCGCCGCGTCTCTGGTCGGTGGCGGCGAGTGGGCGGCTTGCTGTTCGTTAGCTCCTTTGATATATATTCTGCACGTACTCGTTTCCGTACTACTTACTATACATTTCCTTTACTCTATCTGCTTGTCGCGTTCTGCTGGGACTTTGTCTTGTAGTTACTTGCACGATTCAACTACGCGCTTCCACACTGTCCCTCCCGTATCCCTGTCCGTGGCCTGCTTTCCGCGCCGAGAAGCGCGAAAGGCGCCTGGACCCACGAAAATGCCCGTTGCCTCCTCGATCCGGACGAGGAGTCACGGATGCTTCTTCAGTTGTGGTCGGAGCAATCGAAGAACGAAGGCCGTTCCAATCACAGCCTGAATTAAGCAGCTCGACGGCACCACATCATAGTTCACCCTCCCTCTCCTGCCCCGTCTTTCGAGGGCGATGGACGCCGAGAACCGGGCCGGGAGGAAACGCGGGCGCGGAGAGGGAGGGTGAGTATTCCTGTCTGCCTGCTCCAAAAGCCACACAGACCGGGGGGAATGGTGGATAACAGAGAACGTGAAGAAGAGCGAGTTGGCCACAGCACATACCTCAGCCTCCAATTACACGCGCGTGCTTGCACACCCTACTCTACTCTATGGTGAGCGTGTATCATCACCAAACTCGTCGTTCACCTATGCAAAGCAGGGACAGGGAATGGATATGAGTCTGCCGATTTGAAGAAGACAGTGACGACCGACCGAGCTCCAAGGACGAATCTTGCATTGACACATCCCTCGTTCGACTACCCCTCTGACTCTGTCGTTTTGTCAGGCTTCAGTTTTCTGAAGACAAAGTCGAATACACCCTAGCAATTCGACTTCAAGAGCCGCCAGATAGTTAACGCAAGCCGGAACGATAAGCGAAAGAACGCACGTTCTTTAGATATCCCCTCCCCTCCCGCTGTTAAGCACAGTCCATTCCGTTCCCGCTCGTTAATGGTGTCCATGCTGGCCTCGAGCCGCGTCACGGTCGCAAGCGACACGCGACAAGGAAAAGGGCAGCAGTCAGCGAGCTCAGGCTTGATGACCAGTGAGCATCGATACAAATGAGCAGACACATCACGCACGTTGGTAGTTGTCGTGGAATGGGGCTTGTGCTTGCGAGCTGTTATGGCGGGATGGCCCATCTTTCGGATTGACGCCAAAGAGGTCGCGAGCACGAGCGCGAGAGAAGAGACACCGACGCTGTCCAGCAGCGGGTGACCGCCTCGAGCCCAACAGCCCTGCCCAACTTGAAGGAGGAAACGCGACAAGCCAAGATAACGCATTGATGCACTTCCACCTCCTGCATTGGCCCAACGATCTCCAGTCCCTTCAATCCATCATATGCTCCCTGTGGTCGTTCTATAGAAACAAGCCGCCTTTAAGCAGTAGGCAAACGCGAGTAGAGCTCACCCGTTACCATGTGGCGCCGCTCGGGCGTGGGTCCTACGGGCATGAGGCGTCATGATTTTTCTTCAGTACCATCGTATCGATGACAAGATGATCCCGCGAGGGAAGAGCTTACAAGTTGCACTGTCCTGTGGAGAATCGTCGACAATGAGCAAGGGATACCAGGCGGGTAGGGCTTTCGCTGATTGGAAAGGGAGGGGAGAAGCATTCGTGGAGTGCGTGATGAATTTTGCAAGCTGCCTCGCGAATCCAGACAGGCGCCGCTGTTCCTGCGTGACCCGCAGCACTTCGCAAGTTTGTAGACCCGCCGCCGTCATAGCCTCGCGCCTGTTCTCTGGGAAGTGGGCATGGATTTGAAGGCGTGCATGGCGAGCGAGAGATGGCAATAAGCCGGCGGAAGAGGTAATAGGGCCGGCCCCGTCAGAAAAAGCTTTCGCCGTCTGCGCCGTCAGCGAGAAGCTCATGGAATAGGCAAGCACGCACGTTGTCGCCTGCTGGCCTCCCTTGCCTGCTGATTCGTTGTGGCGCGTAGATATGTACGGTGGGGCGTGCAGTCTACCTCCCGCGGAAACGTGATAAAGAGCGCTTGCTCCCAAGCCGGTCTGTGATGAATTAGCACTTTCACACAGCAGCAGAGATGGCGACGCACCGTCTGCGGGACACAGCAGACCCCGGACCTCTCCACCTCTTTCCCATCCCTCTATACTCCTGTCTAGTCCACCAGCAAAGGGTTCGAATAGTGTGCAGTGCTATCGGCAGAAATCGCGCTTCAGCACGCAAAACAGAAAACATCAAGGAAGGGACTTACGTGGGGCCTACACGCCGTGCTCATCGCATTTGGGAGCGGTACACCGCTCCTGACGACGATGACCAGCTAACGTGGCGCTGGAAGGAGGCAGTGGCGTGTGCGCCGGTCGTCGTGGTGGTGCGGAGTAAAGATCGGCGAAGTCACATGTTTTCGGGCCGATCTCGCCTCTCTCTCTTGTACCACGACCATGCCGCGGACAACTGTTGCCCGGCTCAATGGCCCTCGACGCGCGCCCCTCGGGAGGACTAGAAAATGCTCGGATAGCCCCACAGTGTGTCTGCTTGCCAGTTTCTTGTCGCTGAGCCTGCTGGCTGACCGTCCCGCCAGGTGACTGTACGACTGCAGCACTGGGCGGAATAAGGGCATTAGGATGGATAGAGTCGAAGACAAATCACTCATAACGGGTTTGCGGGCTCGAATATTAGTGCGTTGGAGCGCCTTTTCTACTGCTCTCTGTGCTTACCGCCGTAGGCGCAATCCGCTGCCCAGAACATCTCTCCTCCTGCGACCCGCCCCTCTTCGCTGCAATAGTACCGTGTTCTAACGCGTGTCGTCACCCGCCAGTCTGGTCTGTTCCCCCTTGCGCCCCCACCAATTGCACTGACAACAAAAAAACTTTCCACAGCTCCCGTTCGAGAGACTTAGCGGCCTTTGGCGGACTGGGGCCTAACGCATTGGTGCCGCGGGAGACCATATTCGAGAGTATAGCGGGTTAACGGTGCGTGGCCACACCTACCCGCCTCATACACCTTCTGACTTTGCTGTCATCAGACTTTCGCTGGCAACCAGCGCTAGCATCTGATACCACTGCCATCCCCTCCGCGACGGGTGCTTGTCTCTCAGGCGACGCTTCTCAAGCATCTGAATGTGGCCCGCATATATGCGCTCATGTCTTCGCAGGTTAGCGAAGGGCGCCTACCGTGGCCCACGACACGCTGCCGCTCGGCCACCACCGACTTAGACCTTCCTTTACGGCCGGTCGGGTCATCGGTCGACATCCTCCCTTCGTCCAACCTTTAAAAACTAATTCAACGCCCCCGTCTCACCACCTATACATACTTACCCTCATTCCTGCCCCCTCCTCAGGCTCCTGCGCCTCTCGCGCCAGCTCCCGCCAAAACGTGCCCGCGTTGGCTATTTTTACGCGGCGGCACGTATTACGACCACCGTATCTCTACCGAGATACACAAACTGCTCTCTTCAAAGTTGCAGACCGTCATCGCAAACATATTTGCGGCACGGCCGCCTGTGCGGCAGGCGGGAAGCTTATTTAATCGAGAGGTCGTGTGGGTGGGTGGCTTGTGCGATAGGTCCAGTGATGCTCGGCGCCTACTTCTAACAACTTCCTGCCCTAGTGACCACGTTTCTTCGAATAAACCTGTGCTGGTATAACCATGTGTTCGCGTACATCGGCTTCACCCAGCTCATGAATATTCAAGTCTTGAAGTGAAAGATCCTTGCACATAGTTCTTCCGAGACGCTGGGGATGTGAAGGCAATATTTGTGCCATTTTGCCCGAGTTAGGTCTCAATTTCTTCGACCTTCATAGTACTGTTACATACTTCAAGTTATTGTACGCGACCTCTTCTTCGTGTGCGCCGTGGGGAATAAGGAACACCCGGAACCTGAGTATAATGTATTGCAAGTACTAGCTATGGCTCCCATTCAATCACCAATGTTGTTTCGCCTCACTGTTGTTCAACCTCACTCCGTTCAACAATCTCCGCAACCGCTTCCCAGCGGAGCTCGAGAAGCTGTGCTTCAGCCAGAGCAGCAAGCTGGGCCTCCGTGGCCTCGCCATCCAGCTCGTCAACTTCGTCTGACCACGCATTGCCAATATGTTTCAACTCCGGGAACAGCGAGCAGAGGAATCGGGCCATCAGCGCCGGCCCCGACATGTGTGTGCCCGACATACAGTTCCGTCAGCATACTGGCGGATGAAATGCCCACCGCCGGCAACGGCCCAGTGCCGCCGTCCATAGTCAGTACCAGGCGCTGCAACGCCGTGTGTCGCGCCGCAATTACCAGCACGCCAATGGTTAGCCGTGTGGCAGTCTTTGGATGGTTTAGCAACAGGTGCTGGAGCTGCTCAAGGAGCCCGGCGAGCACGTCATCATCCAAATCGATTCCGCCAGGAGCAGTCAGCGCAACATGGGTCAGGCCGGTAAAACGCGAGAGGTGTGCCAGCGCCGATGCACTGACTCCCCAGTCGCCTTCCCATTGCCCTGCTGTCTCCCACACCAGATTGACAATTGTAAGTTTGCGCAGCGTCTGGACGGGCCCTGGCAGCGCTGCAAGCCCAGATATGACCGCCGACACAAGTGTGGTGGTTGTCGACAGGTTGGGATCGAGGTAGAAGTGGCTCAGCGGGGAGGCGCCAATCGTCGGCAGGAAACGGATAATGTCGTTTAAGTCGGTGTTAAACCAGCTGGAGTCATTCAATGCGGGAAAAGACTCGTGTTGGGAACTGTGGCAGGGACAAATATCGAAAGTGCCATGGATTCTGAGCGACTCAAGGGTTGGAAGCGAAGAGAGGTAGCAAAACGCTTGTTGATCCACGGGCTGCTCGATTTCGAGAGATTCCAGACGGCGGAGAGAGCGCAAGAAGGCGCTAATTGACAGTGCGGGAGATGTTGCAGTCGGCGCAGAAATACTCAACTCGCGAATTGGGAGCTTCCGGGATGCGACGGTAGTGAGGAGGGAGAGTGACATATCGCCTATGCCACTCAGGTATAAAGTGTGGAGTTGGGGTGCTAACAGGAAGCGGAGGAGGTTGGCGATCTCGGTGGATTCACCATCTGCATGTCCAGACTCCGTACTCCACGTGAGCTTTTGCAGGGAAGGGAATATGCAGTCCCAGGGTATCCATGTCGAAAACAAGATCAAAATACGCGTGTCGAGTGTTGTGTCGCTAGGATAATAAAACAATGTCTTGACCAGCCGCAAGTACCGCTCCGGACGGTCTAAGTCTTGGAGGACAAATGGGCGCAGCTGATTCTGCGTACTAGTGTCAACACTGAAGCAACTGAGAAAAGTTTACTCGGTACGAGCACTAACCACTCCTCCCCGTGTTCCGTCTCTTTCTATGATCTCCACCAAGTCGGGCGGAAAGCACCGTAGAAGATGTAACAGCGGTCTCTGGACAAATTTCAAGTTGTCTCCACGCCACAGCTCCTCGAGGGCAAAGTCGGAGAAGAGCCGACAAGTGCGTGCCAGACGTGCAAGGGACGGCACGCTTATATCTTCTGGCGAGTTGGCGAGTTGTTGCACAACCTGTAGCGCAATTTCGGGGGTCTCCAGGCAGCGGTGCATCGATGAAGAGAACGGAAGATGAGCGAGTAAAGCAAGCTTGGCTTGTAAAATGTGACTGTGATCGATCACACTTTTTCCTCTCTCTTCCGTACCACCATCCCGTTCTTGCCGTCTTCTCCCCCCAGCATCATTCACTCGTCTTCAGCAACTGTATCCATCAGCAGATGCTGGTGCGTCTCTTCCGCTCCTCCTACACCCGCTTTGCTAACTTTTCATGTAGCTTTCTCTCCTTGAAAGGACTAGTATCGCAGAGCTTAAAGCTTCAGCACCACAGACGCCGCACCCCCGCACAAGCGACCCCTCTCTGGTCCAAAACGCGCCAACGATGGATACGAAGGATATACTACTGAGGGAGATGGTCGTTCGCGGAGAGGAAACTTCAAGGATGAAGGATGCATGTGGATGGCAATCTGCAGACACCAGTGCGTTGACCGAGCTTTCCTCCCTTTTCTGATTGCTCATTGCGACTTCAGGACTCGATTATACTCCGTCTTCTTAGCGTCCCGCGCACAAAAGCGTGCAGCTTGGCTATGCATTTACATTGACAATCCTAACGAGCCCACATACACACACCCATCCGTCCTTCGTGAACAGGGGTTTCAAGTTCGCCGCCGCCCCAGTCACCTTCAACGTTGTTTTCGAGCCCAAACAACCCCCTCATCTTGGCCAAACCGTCCTATCTCCCACTCGAAAGTCGTCTCTTCCGCCTTTCCCCCAGATATCGGGCTTACAAGCCCTATCAAGCATATCTTGTCCGCTCGTGTCTTCCTTTCATCCAAGTTCCTCCGCCCTCGTTTGCGGCTTGCTTTTTTGTCACCCCTCTTCCGGAGCCGAGCGGCTTCGCTATCGACTTTGAAGACTGCGGAAAGCGAAGCCGCCAATCATAGGCTTGGTGGTGAACGGCGCTCAAGCATGGTCGGCCGGCGTGGTCGTGGTCGTGGTCGTCGCCAACAGAGAGGATAATGTTGTCGTGGAGCGCGCGAAGGAAACGCGGGGAACTTTAGTATGTAATGCGTTTCTTGCGGCGAGATGCAAGCTAACCACAAATGGGCAGGCGCATTGAAAACGTGTCCCTACGTGACCACTATCCTTGTCAGCAAATCTATCGCGTTCATCCACGCAAAATAGATAGCGCCCACCCACCCCCACATTCGCAAGCGTCTACCCTACATCGTTTTTTTGCTGCGTCACTCGAGGCACAGTCGCGCTCTATGGCCGACAAATCGTGAATACGTGCCAGTGGTGTAGGGGCTCTACCAACCGGACCTATTTTTGCAGGGCAACACAATCCTCACTCCCAATTCTTCTCTGCCTGTATTTGTGCAGTCGTCCGGCCCGTTCTTCAGCGTTTTCGCTCGAGCGACCCAATTGACGTCGTTTCTTGACTGCTGTCGCGAGCAATTGGTCCCCCGCTTGACAATCTCGAGGCCCTAATGTCGCGAGCTCGAATCTCCGTATCGGGCGTGGGGGAAGGAGTAGGCATCGAGCAAACCGCGGAATACACTTCTTCCAAGCACACATCGTTTGTCTCTCCGGATTCGCTACCACCTATATGTCTGTCTGCTTACCTTACCTACCTCACGTTCTGACTATCTGCTGACTAAACTGGAAATCTTTTTTTCGTTCCGTTGCTTCTTGCTTACATCTACTGTACTTACTCATTTTATCAGTACGGACGACCATTTTGTTGTCTGCGATATACTATAACACCCCAGTCCTTCATAATCCACGCTCGCCTTTCTTCGAGAAACTTGCAAACGACTTCATAAGTACTTTTGACGTGTAGACGTGATGTAGTGCTAGGTCGACGGAGGAAGAGGCTTTCGTTGCTGGAGGTACCGTAGTTGGGCCAGGGAGGGCATATAAGCGGGGAACGATAAGTATGTACGTGGCGCTTCATGACTCACCGCTCTTCTGAGTGCACTTCCTAGATCTTTTCGGTAGCCTGCACGCTTGAGGGACAACCGGGGGTTAAGTCAGCTAGCCACAGGTGCGCGCAAGCACTCATTTTTGGTTGTATGCTGCTGCTGACAGTCATATTCCCTCCGGCGCAAGCCGCTCTTCCGCATCGAGCTCAAAACCAGTATCGCCGTTAACCTCTCTCCGCCTGCCTCCTCCATTTCTGCCACCTCCTCGATTCCATTGTTGCAAGCTCAGTGAGCATACAGTTATCGCCACCGCATAAAACAAGCGCGAGGACGGTATCTTTGGCTGGGCGAGGTGCGTTTTCGGGCATAATCGCGAGAGATCTGCGCCGCTTACTCCCCTTCTCTTGCTTGTATTTCCTCAGTAGTTTGTGTACGCCAGCGATGACGACCGTTGATGATGTCTTTCGCGCTGGAAGAGCCAGAGGCTGGCTGGGACTTGCTTAGGGCGCGGCCAGTCGTTGGAGCTACCAAGCATGCATCAACTCATCCCACCAGTGACTCATCAGGAAAAACCTCCCTGAGAAATCTCATGGAATTTTTGGAATTTTCAGTGGCCTTGAGAAATAATGTAAAATTTAGCCAGATTTCACAGAATTTCTGGAAATTTCCAAGTATTTCTGGAGCATGTCAAATAGATAGTTAAATGAACACAAACCATGACAAGTACTATACATCACATGTGTAACTATTTATCTCTGCAAGGTCTGATACTTGGGGGTTGCTTTTTAACTCTGTCATTCAAAATTGTGTTGACAAGTGTGCCATCAAAGACTGGCCCTAAACTTATCACGTTGCCATGTCTTTGGCAGATCTTTGATAGATTTGTTACATATGTGTGACATCAAAAAAAGAATCGTACCATTCTTTCCTTCCCCCCTCATGTTCCTTCTCGATCTTCCCCTCTCATTGACCTTCAAGAGCATAGGCCGCCGGCCAATGCACGACGCTCTACCAATGCCTGTCCGTCGAGATGCGCTGAGAGCGGCGGCGGGCCTGCCAGCTCTCTGTTCTCCCTCGCTTGTTGGCGGTCACCCTGCTGGGTGTGCCCATTTGACAAGCGCCAGAGTCATTGCCAGTGAGTTGTTCGTCTTGAACGTGGCCCATGCTTACCCGTCCTCTGCATACACCGCCTCTGTGCTGGTCCTTGGGAAGACAGGAGGACAGGAGGGCGACCGGAGACGCCTCGAGGGATCGAAGGCTTCAAATGGCAGGTGAGTGCCTCTATAAAGGCTATGGAACCTAGCTGACCGAACCAAGCGTTGGCCCGCCAACCCCAGTTTCCTTCTAGTCCAGCAACCAACAGTGCGGCGCCAGTTTTCGCGCATGTCACTTGCTGACAGCCATCCACGCCGTACCATCGGTCGCTGGACGAGGTCTGGTGATGCCGCATGAGCGTGGGCCCCGCAGTCTGCCCATTCCCTGCGCGGCTGTGCCAACAAGCCGCGAAACGCAAGGCGGGCACTACAACCCGGTACGTCCTGCCCTCCTCTCTGTGTCCTCCCGCTAATGATACCCTAGCTAGAACTGCGTGGAGATGATGACGCTGTTGGTCATAGTCGGCCTCAAGTGATGTGTCGCGCGACTGCACGATGGAAGCTCGTGCGTAGTCCTTCTTCCCTCCCCTCTTCTCGCTCGTCCTCCTCCTTACTTACCCACCTTGCAGTCCCGTGAATATCCGGCAGCAGTGTTGTTCGGCGCGCAGGGACCGAGGGCCCGCTGTGTCGCGTTTGCGGCGTTTGCGCTGACAGCAACAAGGCGTGTAGGACTATCTTGTGGAATAGCGTAGACATATTGTACTGATAGCTTTGCGTTCAATCTAATAATTGGCTTGCTTTGATATGCATGAAAGCTATTCATAACAACGCTAAATTGTTGGAAATTGCGTAGAAATTGACCAGAAATTTCCTCCGATTTCCCAAAATTTCTGGGGGACTAAAGGAATCACAGAAATTCTGGAAATCAAAGAAATCAGGTAAAATCCTTACTGATTTCAGGAAATTTTGAGAAATCTCATAGGATTTCTGGGGGAGGTATTTCCTGATCTGGCAGCAACGAGACGTTGCTCGTACTTCTCCACTACCCATTCAAACACACACTCAACAGCTCATTCACCTTCGAACATACTTGCGAGCCCTCGAATGCAAAATCGAAATACCACCTGCACCATATCTCATCTCCACTACCACGCTCCTGCCAATCCCACCAAGGCCTTGTCCCAAAATGAAAGTCACGTGCACCGAGTCAAACCACTCTTTGACAACTTTATATATTATCACAAACTATAGACAATATACTGGTGTGGACCATTATGAATGGTATCAGGTTCCCTCTAGCAGTGCCCGACACATTTGAATCTGGGGGGTAACTTACTATAAGTATGTATACTCATCATCACCTAAAGTGACCGGTAATTTGCCGATTACTAAGCTATTATTGATCCAATCAGTCTGATATTTTGATGCTGAGAAGCTATCATGATTCTGAACTGATACTCCAAATTTAGTTGAGTTTGCTCTGGCTGTTGAGATGTAATACGCAAACCATTCTCTTAACCCTGCCATTTTTGGCTCAAATTTGACAATAAGCCAAAAGCTGAAAATTGTCCAATCCAGATGATATTCAGAGTGTATGTAGCTGTTACCCATTGATAAAAAGTACCAGTTACAAAATCTCGATAAATGCTTTCCTTGGTCTAAAAATGACTCATAATGCCTGAGGAATCAATTGTCTAGGGGCAGAGTAATCCACTATATCAGTGTCCCCCTTGCTTGTATGGAATATTATACTGATTTCATGGACATGGGAGGCTAGAATGTATGTGTATGAAGTACTCTGTTCAATTTCACTATGTTCTGCTATTCATGTGTTATGCTTTGAGCATATTTCCTTCTAAAACTTGATCTCAGATATTATGTGTGTTTTTGTTGACATGATTACATGACAATCAGTGTTCCAATCACTCTGCAAATTTGGGGGCATGGAGGGAATATGGTAGAAATATAGTGGTCCAAATTCCACGCTGATAGCATCAATAACCGCTTATTAATCAGCAAATTACCGGTCACTTTAGGTGATGATGAGTAGTATAGTGCTGGCCAAATATGATTATGTTATTTTATCGGCATAATATATTATAATCATATCATATTCGGAGCTCCAACACAATAATATATTTGTAGTATAGTATAATCATATTCAGCTGCAAAATATGAATATATTATGAATATATTCAACTATAATCTAGTATACATATCTCTTGATATATTTGACATATTTGCTGCTAGAAAAAAATTAAAAACATAAGATACATGCTGGATTGTTAGGGCAACTTCCTTTTGGGCCTCTCTAATTCCAACCTTGGATACATAGGACCCTCAAAATACAATCAGGGGTATTACCACCAGGATTAGGTTGGTCAGTAGATACTTGATCAGGGGTTCTACACTATGTTTAATAGGGTCAACCCAAAGTGATCACTTCTGACACTTGTTCCTACTAGGAGTAATGTATGAATCACTGCATACAATAGATACTATGTGACATTTATTGGAAGTAGGGCTAACTCAGACTAAGATTAGTACTATGACTGAGTACATGGACTGAGAAAATAGCTGTTACCATCCACCTGGCTATAGTTGAATATTCTATGACTATAATATAGTATAGTCATAATATAATATAATATATTCAAACATAATCATATTCAAGTGATCTGCCAAGGGCATAATATATTCATAATATTCTGAATATATTCAATATTTAATCAACCATAATATAATTCTGGCCAGCACTAGTATAGTAACATTTTGGAGACTGTGTCATTGGGACAGAGTCAGCAGCTCCCCAGCCATCGTAACCAACTATGCACATATCTGTGGCCTCCCAAGTTTGATACAACACCACTGATAGAGGCAGGCCACAGGCCACAAGCAGCTGCAGCCCGTGGCCAGGCAGCTCCCAGTTCTACAAATGTTGACTGCCATGGCCATTGTGGGCTAATGGCGTGGCCATTTCCCGTGTGCGACTCATTGTTCGACCTGGCAAAAGGAAGGCCGGCGGGGCCGGGAGGCCGCCGGAGGCAGTGTGGGCCCCGGTGGAGGTGTCTCCTTGAAGTCGGGACCGAAGCGCGTAATATTGCGCAGGCAGGAACTCACCAGACACCTGCTCCACATCAACCATTGTTGTTATTTCAAGAAATAGACCGCGCGCAGGCTGCGCAGCAAAGGAATGGACCTGGGCACACACTAACCCCTGATCAAGTGTCTACAGGCCAACCTAATGTTAGTGGCAATGTCCCTGATTGTATCTTGAGAGTCCTATAGAGCCAAGGTTGGAATTAGAGAGGCCCTGACAATCCAGCATGTATCTCATGTTTTGAATTTTTTTCTAGCAGTGAATATATCCAATATACAAAGAGATATGCATACTAGATTATAGTTGAATATATTCGTAACATATTCATATTTTGCTGCTAAATATAATTATACTATACTACAAATATATTATTGTGTTGGAGCTCTGAATATGATATGACTATAATATATTATGCCCATAAAATAATATAATTATATTTGGCCAGCACTAAATAGAGGTGGCGCAGAGAGGGCCTGGCGCACCGAGGGCAGCCAGGCTCCATTTCAGAACAGACCGGGGAAACTGCTGAATATACCGGATGGAATCCAGCCGCCCGATTGCTGTGACCCATATGATTGAATCTGAGAAATCCTGTATGTTGAATGCAGCAGCAATTCGCCTGCTGGATCGATGCCTGTGGGTGGCTTTAGCCATGCTACAAGTCGAAAACGTTAGAAAACACGGTTTTGGGCGCGTACTTTACGAAAATATGTGGCGTTCGTTTATCAGCGCTATCAGCCCGACACACCCTAATATTAGAGAGTTTGCGTTAGCCACAGGACAGCTACCAGGTGGCATTTTGCCGTTGCGTGCTCAGTGGCTCCTACAGTGGTGATGTCATGACATAGCCACCTGTGGAGCCACTCCAGGGCATCGAAGCCACCCTGCGCGCAACGCAAAAATGCCACCTGGTGGCACCCCCGGTGGCTCACGCAACCTGTCTATTTTCAGATTTTTTAGAAAATCTTTGGGAATGCCTCTGCTCACCGTCAAGGACAACGACGAGAAGCATTGATTACTGTGATGGACGTTGTCAGTGAAGCGGTAATCAGTACGTCATGCTATATTGACATGCTGATCTGATTGGACTCACCTACGGAGTCAGAGACACGCTGATGCATAAAAGGCAGGTCAGAGCTAGAGACCTTCATTCATCATTCCATGTCTCTGGTGACAGCCACTGATGCATCGGAACCCCAGGTTGGGTACCGCAGGGAGCCTGTCGTCAACAAGCAAGTCAGCACTGTTGGATGTCAGAAATCGGGCGCTTATTAACCAGGCCGCGCGCCTCCGATCGAGTTCCGAAGACAAGTAGCTTAACCACTACCCGAGGGTACATAGGAGATGAAGGGGAGATAAAAGCGTGCCTGTCAGGGGAACCTCCCTTTCGGCCCCTCGGAGACGCTTCTGATTCCGGTCCGATTCCGGTTCCGTCTCCGGCCTGGCCCTCCATCTTGCCCGCACAATCACCGATCCGTCAACGCCCTCCCAACGGTCGCCCTGGGACCTTGCCTGCGACGCCGCCCAAGCCTTCTGTGCCCGACAGCGGCAGCTACGGACAAGCAGTATATAGTCAGCTACCTAGCAGGCGGACCCTTAGAGTTTCTTCTCTTTGGATCCTCCCCTGCTAGGCCTTGATATCAGGCCTCCGGGGTTGCTGTTACAGCAGAAGAAACTCTCTACGGGATCAACCGGACAAGATTGCCAGGCTCGGCGCTGACTCAGGCTCGGAGTACGAGTCCGTTCCGCCCTCGTCACCGCCTCTGCCACTTGGCCCCTCCTCCTCCACTCCTGTGGTCCCCGCACCCGTCATGCCGTCCGGAGTCACTCCCACTGCAGACGACCGACTGGACTCACTGGAGGCGAAAATCGATAGCCTAACTGAGGCCCTTGCTTTACTCACCAACCAGGCTTCCGCTGCTGCTGCCGCCGCTAATAATGCTGGCGGACCCCAAATACCATCGCCGGAGACGTCGATTCCGACTCCGACTCCGGTTCAGACGACTTCGAGGACCTGATGGACCTCGCCGGATTCGAAGACGCGTTGGTCAAGGTGACCAAGTTCCGCCACGGACTTGACCCCCTGATCAACAACGGAATCACGTCCTCGAACGACCCCCCGGACCTCCGGGACTACCTTAGCTGGCGCACCCG